TGACTCATAACTACATCACTTTGCTTATAACCAAAATCACATATCTCATAATCAACAATCATGTATCTCATAACCATTACCCACATATCTCATAACCAACACTCTTTGGCTCATAACTACAATCACTTATCTCATAACTATAATCACATATCTCATAACTACATCTCATAACCAATATCCTTTAGCTCATAACCAATATCCTTTAGCTCATAACCATACTCATATAGCTTATAACCAATATCCTTTAGCTCATAACCAATATCCTTTAGCTCATAACCAATATCCTTTAGCTCATAACCAATATCCTTTAGCTCATAACCAATATCCTTTAGCTCATAACCAATATCCTTTAGCTCATAACCATATCTCATAACCAAACACCCTTTCGACTCATAACTACACCACTTTCTTTATAACCAAAATCACATATCTCATAATCAACAATCATATATCTCATAACCATTACTCACATATCTCATAACCAACACTATTTGGCTCATAACTAACATCACATATATCATAACTACTAATCACGTATCTCATAACACCCTTTGGCTGATAGTCACACCACTTTGATCATAATTAACATCACATATCTCATAACCATTAGTCATATATCTCATAATCAATACTCTTTGGCTCATAACCATACCACTTTACTTATAACCACTAATCACATATCTCATAACCAACATTCTTTGGCTTATAACCACACCATTTTACTCATAACCACTAATCACATATCTCACAACCACATTCTTTGGCTCATAACCACACCACTTTACTCATAACCACTAATCACATACTCATAATCAACATTCTTTGGCTCATAACCACACCACTTTACTCATAACCACTAATCACATACTCATAATCAACATTCTTTGGCTCATAACCACACCACTTTACTCATAACCACTAATCACATACTCATAATCAACATTCTTTGGCTCATAACCACACCACTTTACTCATAACCACTAATCACATACTCATAATCAACATTCTTTGGCTCATAACCACACCACTTTACTCATAACCACTAATCACATACTCATAATCAACATTCTTTGGCTCATAACCACACCACTTTACTCATAACCACTAATCACATACTCATAATCAACATTCTTTGGCTCATAACCACACCACTTTACTCATAACCACTAATCACATACTCATAATCAACATTCTTTGGCTCATAACCACACCACTTTACTCATAACCACTAATCACATACTCATAATCAACATTCTTTGGCTCATAACCACACCACTTTACTCATAACCACTAATCACATACTCATAATCAACATTCTTTGGCTCATAACCACACCACTTTACTCATAACCACTAATCACATACTCATAATCAACATTCTTTGGCTCATAACCACACCACTTTACTCATAACCACTAATCACATATCTCATAACCAACATTCTTTGACATATTAAAAAAATTCAGTAAAAACAATATAACACGGAAAACAAGAAAGTATAATTTTCTCAAAAGAGTTTTTGGAAAACTCTAACCTAGCATAGTGATTGTGGTTTTAAGACAACTTCATATATATACAGTCACAAAATGGTTTGAATAAATTCAAGGATATTTTTCTGTCGCAAAAAAAATTAAAAAAAACAATGTCGTCTTACTCTTTTGATATAACATTTCTCTTTTCATTCATTTTTTATCTTCCTGTCTCTCTGTCTCTATCTCTCTTTTCTCTCTATTTCTTTCTCTCATCACTCTTCTTTCTCTGTCTGTCTGTTTCTCTCTCTCATTTTCTCTCTGTGTCTCTCGCATATCTCTCTTCTCTCTATCTTTCTCATCTGTTTTCTCTCTCTGTCTTTCTCGCTCATCTCTCTTCTCTCTATCTCTTTCATTTCTTTTTTCTCTCTCTCTCTCTCTCTCTTATCTTTCTATCTCTCTTGCCCATTTCTCTTCTTTCTCTGTCTCTCTCTTTTTTGTGTCTCTCTCTTTTGCTCATCTCTTTTCGCTCTATTTCTCTCCCTTTTTGTCTATCTCTCGCTCATCTCTTGTTTTTCTCTTTTTCTATCTCTCCCTTTCTCTCTCTCTCTCTCTCTCTCTCTCTCTCTCTTTCTCTTTCTTTTTCTCTCTCTATCTCTTTTTCTGTCTATCTCTTTCTCTGTCTCTCTCTCACTCATCACTCCTCTCTCTCTACTTATCTATTTGTCTATTTCTCCCTCACTATGTTCGCCTTGCTCACTCTCTTACTCTCATCTTCTCTATTTATCGAGCTCATTCTCGATTTATTGATCCACTATAAACGACGTTGTCTTACTCTTTTGAACATTTATCTTTTCACATATTTTTTCATCTTCCTATCTCTCTGTCTCTGTCTCTCTTCTCTTTCTCTCTCTTACTCATCACTCTTCTCTGTCTGTCTGTCTCTCCATTTCTCTATATGTCTCTGTCTCTCTTCTCTCACTCATCACTCTTCTCTGTTTGTCCCTCTTTCTCTCTGTGTCTCTGTCTCTCTTCTCTTTCTCTTTCACACTCATCACTCTTCTCTGTCTGTCTATCTGTCTCTCTCTTTTTCTCTGTGTCTCTCGTCCATCTCTCTTCTCTCTATCTCTTTCATATATCTTCTCTCTTTGTCTCTCTTCTCTCTCTCTTTTTTTTTCTCTCTCGCTCTCTCACTCATCTCTTTCTGTCTCTCTCTCGTTTATCTCTTTTCGCTCTTTTTTTTTCTCTCTCTCGCTCTTCTCTGTCTGTCTCTGTCTCTCTCTCTATGTGTCTCTGTCTCTCTTATCTCTCTCTCTCACTCATCACTCTTCTTTCTCTGTCTGTCTCTTTATTTCTCTCTATGTCTCTGTCTCTCTTCTCTTTCTCTCTCTCACTCATCACTCATCACTCTTCTCTGTCTGTCTCTCTTTCTCTCTGTGTCTCTCGTCCATCTTTCTTCTCTTTATCTCTCTCATCTCTCTTTTCTCTCTGTCTCTCTTTTCTCTCTCTTCTCTTTATCTCTCTTGCTCATCTCTCTCTGTCTCTCTCTCGTTTATCTCTTTTCGCTCTTTCTCTCTCTCACTCTCTCTCTCTTTGTCTATATCTTTTCATCCATTTTTTCATCTTCCTTTCTTTCTTCTATTTCTCTTTCTCACTCATCACTCTTCTCTCTCTGTCTGTTTGTTTATCTGTCTGTCTCTCTCTCTCTCTGTGTCTCTCACTCATCTATCTCTTTTCTCTCTCTGTTTCTTTCGTTCATCTCTCTTCCCTCTATCTCTCTCATCTCTCATCTCTCTCTGTCTCTCTTCTCTCTATCTCTCTTCTGTCTTTGTCTCTCTCTCTCTCTCCTCTATCTGTCTCTCACTCACCTCTCTCTCTCTCACCACCCATCTCCTTTACCACATTCACCACTACTGCAAACGTCATTCCACTACCACCTTACTACCACTGTCGCCACTTCACCTCTACGACTACCATTATTACTACTACCATTGCCACCACTCCACTACAACTACTGCCATTACCACTACCATTACCTCTCATTCACCCTTACTACTCCATCTACTCTACCACTACCACAACTTCACCACTAATCTCCTTTGCCATCACCACCACCACCACCATCATCTCTTATCCACCACCTACACCACTACTGCCGCTTCCTCTCCTCTACCACAAAAAATTAGTTCATAATTTTTAATAACCAAAAAAAATGGGCAGCAGAAAAATATTTTTCATTGACTATAGAAAATTAACTTTTATTTTAGTGGAAAATATTTTTCATTAAAATATTGCCCCTACTTCTACCAAATAAAAAATAATAATTTTTTTCATTAAAATAAAAATGAAACAATAAATTTTCAATCTTCGTAACTAAAAAAAAAAGAAATTTTTTTAAAAAAATTCATTAACTAGAAAAAATATATTTTTTAACAAAAAATAAATTTTTTTGACGATAGCAACCCCAATCTCAAAAAAAAAAAAAATTAAAAAATTAGACGGCGTTATTTTGTTATTTAAATTTCATTTTTGATCCTTAAAAAATATATATATATATTTTATTTTATTTTTTCCCGCCCCTTTTTTTTAGCTTTCCCGCTCCCTCGCCTCCAAAAGCAAAAAAATCCCCAATCTCTCAAACCCAATAATCCCTAATCTGTTCTTACCCTCCCTCTCTCGAGATAGACGGCGAGCGGCGGAGACAACCGGTGACTCCACCACCATTCCTAACCTGAATGACTTCCCGGACCTCATCCTCCTCCTCATCCTCTCATTTCTCCCCACTCTTGATGCCATTCGAACCACCTGTCTCTCTCACAAATGGCGAAACCTCTGGTTCTCTCTCTCCTCTCTCAACTTCGACTACCCTATCTTCCCTCCCTCCGACTTTCCCTCCGACACCCGTCGTCTCTTCACCAACTTCGTTGACCAAGCCCTAATCTTTCTTCAACCCCTCTCTCCCCTCATGCTTTGCTTCCAGTTTGACTTCCGCGAATATCTCTATCTCTATTTCTCGCTCTGGAACTTCTATTCTCAGAATGAGGGACGAAGAGAGGCATTAATTTCTCTTTCCAGACAACTTGCTCTCCATGTAATTTCTCTTTCCATTTTCTTTTCAAAATGTTGTTTTTTATATTTTCATTTTTTGATTAATATCTTCTTCTATAAAATCTGGTTCTGATTGGTCTCCTTTCCTATTAATTTTTTATTTTTTAGATTCTCAAACATTTTTGATTATGCTTACAATGAGTGATTTGAAAAAATATTGGATAAAAAATAAATAAAAATTTAATTGCAATTGCATTTGATGCATGTTTCATTTAATGTTATTTTTCATTTATTTGATTTGATTTAATTTTTTTTTTGATTAATTATTAATGTGCAACCCATTTTATTAATTAATAATTATGTTTGTAATATGATCGAATTTTCAGTATCATCCGGATGTTTGCAGAGGAAACAATTGAAGATTTACAATTTTGGGTAGGTGAGGATGGAGGGTATGGTGAAGAAATATTAGCAAAAATTTAGAAAAGTGAAAGAAGAGATGAGTCGATGGGACGAACCTCAATCTAGGTTGCTTTCCCAGTTCCGGAACTCATCTTCTATCATTCAGAGGTTACAGGTCCCTTCTAATTCACCACAACATACGTATAATATGAAATAGCTTACGAATTGTTCTTCATATTATAATTTGTGTTTTGTTTTTTTGTTTTTGTTTGATTACAGGTTATCCAAAATCCCAAGAACTATGGTGCCTTGAAATGTATTGTTGGCATTGAAGATTTGGTCTTGAGAAAGCAGATGGAATCTTTGGAATCTATCTTGCTTTCCATGAATCAGACTCTGTAAGTTTTTGGGTTTCTGTCTTTTGCTCTGTGCAATTTGTTGAGAAAATCTTGGATAAGAAAAAAAATCTCAACTTTTGAACTTATGATGATTATTTTGTTTATATTTTGGTAAAGCGAGCATAGCATTATCTTGCTTTCCATGAATAAGACTCTGTAAGTTATTGGGTTTCTATCTTTTGCTCTGTGCAATTTATTGAGAAAATTTTGGATAAGAAAAAAAATCGCAACTTTTGAACTTATGGTGATGATTTTGTTTGTATGTTGTGAAAGTAAGCATAGCAAGTTGGGATTGGGGCTTTTAGTTTTAGCATTTTTTTTTGAAATGATAGGAACAAAATTTTTAATGGTTGCATACTCTCCTTGAAGGCTTTGTAAATGAAGAAATGATTTAATGCTCTCAAATCAACTCTTGAATAAAATCGTCATTGTTTTTAGAGAGTAGACGTATTTCACAATATGTGATACATTTCAAATATTTTATGTATTCTTAATCGTGATAATGTTGATCATATTGTTTTGCAACCAAGAGCGATTTTGCTCATTGACTTCTGAAGTACTCAAGTTATTGGGTTCATCGACAAATGTATGAATTTTTTAGTTTATTGTGAACTATTCCAGGGAAGAGTTTCATGGTATCGTTTTCTTTCTCAATAAAATTCTTCGTGATGGTAGACAGCTGGTTAAAGCAGGATCTATTCAGGCGGCCCCAAAACAGCTACAACAACGAATTGGTATAAAACCATCTCTAGCAGATTGTCTGGATGGGCTAAGCCTTATTTACGAGATGCACCAATCAGAGTATGGAAACTACTCACTACTCAATGTCTTACATTTCCCCCCTCCCCACTGCAAGTAGGAATTTAGGATGGCTATGGGTAGTTTTTGGGTAGGCAGAACATTGAGTTGAAACAAAGACTTCTGTATTCTTTTGTTTTAGTTAAATTGATTTGGATTCAGTGCACATTTATACTTAAAAAGTCATTTCATATTCTTTTCTCCATTCCTGGATTGTTGCTAGTATGGGTTGCACATCACTTAAATTGAGAAATTTAATTGATTTTTTTATAACATTCATCACATGCACTACTACTATCTCATTGTTCATAACCTCTATTTATTTCATGCCAGCGAGAGACTAGGGTTTCTTTCTTCTCATTCCACCATCTATTCTCAATGGAGTATGTTTTGTTTTGTTTTTTTAGTGTGCTATATCTTGAATTTTTATCACTGCAGTGGCAGTGATCTAGGTGCTCTCCAGCAACTCTTGGTTGATCAACCAAACATCCCCAAAGAGGAAGGTATGCAGACTATTTAATAACGAAGCAATGAAAATTATATAAAACCATAACTGAACTGAACTTCAGTGTCAAGAATGTCCGCGAGTTGGAATATCAATAGCAAAAGATTATGTGACTGTTTGCAAGACACAATTCAGATTTAGCCATCATGAAATTGATTAAATTGAGAAATAAACTAAAAGATATGGGAAGTAAGATAATCAGAAGAAATGGGGATGAAATAAAAGAATACATTGATGTACTACTTTTCATGGTCCACTAGTGGAACTCTAGGCTTGACATTGAGTCTGTTAAGATTACATCAGTTCATCTAGTATTATGATAATAAAATCAGGTGAAGTCAAAGTTCGTGATTTTGAAAATTATCAAACCTAGAAAATCTCGATATGTTGGATTGAGTTTTTGCTTCAATTACCTTTTTGTATTCATAATTTCCTTGGATTGTTTTCAGCAATTCATTTGAGTTGGGAACTTGATTTAATGACTACAAATTTGATCTGTCCCACTATGCTGATTCCTAGAGAATTTTCTTGGCCTACGGGTTTCTATACATATAAAACAGCTGGTTCCAGTTATAATTTGCATACCACCTATGCTGGCCTTTGTTGAAATTTGTCATTAAAGCTGAGGAACTCTGTAGTTATTTTCTTCTTCTTCCCCCCCACAACCCCCCCACCCACCAAAATAAACTTTTTTTTAACCTCCTATTTGGATCCATACAACAAACGCCATGCGTATATGGTGGGTACCATTTTATTTTGGGGTGTGTCGTACGTGTTCATATGGTGTTTGTTGTGTGGATCCACATAGGTGAAAAAAATGGTGAAATTTATCTGGTGACAAATATCTTTTTTTTTTTATTATTATTATGTTTTTTTATTTTATTTAACTGCAGTCTTTAGCACCATCTTACTGTTAAATTGATTTTCTGCAAATTCACAATATTTCTCATCTAATTGCTATGTTTTCGTTGCAGTGCAATCCATATTTGACATCGTGTTTGCTGAAGAAATATGTTGATCTTCTGCTTCTTGATGATCACAAATCTTGGTTCTATGAGAGAGAAAAGGCTGATGAATGCTACATGCATTTTGATTTTAGATAACAAAGGATTGAGTAAAAAGTTTGATTTGATATTAACTACTCCAATCCTTTCATCAATTTTTCATTGAAATCTTTTTAAATTTTCTCCTCTTATCCAAACAATTAAAAATAATTCCTATTACCTCTAATAAGGGACCTCCTCATTGGTGTCTTGTGATTGGTTTTTTTTTAACTTGCTTGTTTTTCAACTTTGTCCTCTATTTTTTTCCACTTTCTGATTAAATTTATAATGTAGTATTTGTTTTGGTTAAGTCACAAAAGTATAACTAAGCTTGACCAAATTCATTGTTTATTATTGGTAAATCATTTGGGATATTTTTTTTTTCCACTAATGATTTCAGTCAGTGATTTGAAATCTTACGTGTATTGAGGCTATCATATGTCAAGTTGTTGATTCTGCTTCAGCAGTAAACCAATCTGTGTATTGTGTGTTCATGGCAGCACAGCATCTCAGTATTGTATCACCTTTTTACTTATTGTTGGCTCTTGGTCCAATATTGATAGCTTTTTTAAACATACTCATGTGCATATTAATGTGCTTTGCATAGTTTAAAAATGAGTATTTGTTAATTTCCCTTGAAGTCAATAATGTGAGCTTGAGGTGTTTAAAGCAAAGTGAGAGTGATGAAAACATCTCCACCACTGTTCGACAACCTTGTGCAGTTTAACATGCAATTCTTTTGCTATTAGTCTCGAAAGTGTGTGCATCAAATTGGTATAATGGGCTGGAGCAATCAACTTTGCATTACATGTTATGACATTAGCTCAGGCTTTAATTGGTTTTGGTTTTTGCTCTGTGATGCAGATAGCTCTGTTTGTTTCCTCCGGTGATGCTGTGCAGTCGGGTTGGCTTTTAACATTCCTCAAATGCACAAATCAGAGAAATGTGAATGCATCTAGTTAAGGTTTGTGGCTTTAGAGTTGAAGTAATGTTTACTTTTGTGCTGCTAGTGTTGTGTGTCAGATTAATTGGTAGGGAATGTGCAGCTAGAAGCTTCACAGTTTCAGCTGATTTTTTATTTCTTAGAACTGCATACAGTTGTTTCTACCTTTTTATTTTTTTGTAAGGTGTTGTTTCCAGGTGCTCCTTTGCTCACCTATTTTATATGATTTTGTTAGGTTCTTTTGAATTTGTCTCTTTTCTTAGGTTATTACAAATGAGCATGAGCAGGTTACTCTCAATTTAACATGTAACTTACAATAGTTGAGCCCTGCTCATGCACACATAAACAACCTAGCTGCAGTGTTCATGTATGCATTGCACATAGGTGGTGGTTGAGGAATTAAGTGCACATTAATTATAAGAACATTTGTTTATTTAATTTTTTTTTTGTGTATATTTTTATTTAATTTTTTGTTGAAGTGGTCAAACGGTTGGTTGTGGTACATTTGTTTAAGCGTTTATTTATGTAATGGTTATTGAGACTTTGAACAAAGGTAGTAGACTTTCATCTTTGTTATTGTTTATGCAGTTTGTCTTTTTTACTAGTTGTGCAAAATAATATTTTTCGTACCTAGATTCTTTCTTTTCTCCCCACAATCATTAATTTCCTTACTTTCCTTACGTATTGTCTTCTTTACTAACTCTATTTCAATGTTCTATTTTTGTTTGTTATAGGTCCTCAATTTCTCCATCTTAACGTAGAAGTAAAGCTATACCTCCTCCATCCCTTCGTCTCTAGCAGTTGCATTAGCAGGTGTGTTTTTTAATTTATTTGCTTTTAATTAATAGCAGGGCACTGGCGGGTGTGCTATTTTATTTATTTGTGCCGTGTTTTTTTATTTATTTGTTTATTTTAATTGATAGCAAGGCACTGGCAGGTGTGCTATTTTATTTATTTGTGCCGTGTTTTTTTATTTATTTGTTTATTTTAATTGATAGCAAGGCACTGGCAAAAAATAATCCAATAGTCCATCCATTTAGAAGCTACACAACTTCACCTTTAACACAGGAAACTACCAGGAAATTAACCAAGTTATGATCTATCAAATAATCCAATAGTTCATCCAATCAAATAATTTCTTTTTTGTATGTATTTTTATTTAATTTTTGTTGAAGTGGTCAAACGGTTGGTTGTGGTACATTTGTTTAAGTGTTTATTTATGTAATGGTTATTGAGACTTTGAACAAAGGTAGTAGACTTTCATCTCTGTTATTGTTTATGCAGTTTGTTAATGTCAAAAGATGTGCAAAATAATATTTTTCGTACATAGATTCTTTCTTTTCTCCCCACAATCATTAATTTCCTTACATATTGTCTTTTTTGCTAACTCTATTTCAATGTTCTGTTTTTGTTTGTCATAGGTCCTCAATTTCTCCATCTTAACGTAGAAGTAAAGCTATACCTCCTCCATCCCTTCCTCTCTAGCGGTTGCATTAGCAGGTGTGTTTTTTAATTTATTTGCTTTAATTAATATGTCTTTTTTTATTTATTTGTTTATTTTAGTTGATAGCAAGGCATTGGCGGGTGTGCTATTTTATTTATTTGTGTTGTCTTTTTTTATTTATTTGTTTATTTTAATTGATAGCAGCCTAGTGGCTTTATTTTAATTGATAGTAGGATACTTGCGGGTGTACTGTCTTTTTTTTAGAGGGAGATGATGTCACAAGAGAGAGATTGAATTCATTTTTGGTTGAACTCAAATTTGTTGAATGACATGTAAATGTCTGGAAATTCTGAATTGATACTTTTGCTTCCCACCCACGACAAAAATAAACATAATTTTGAGGGAGCAGAGAAATGTACATGTTTGAAAAGAAAGAACTCTAGGGCAAATACATCACAAGCTGAACAGTTGATTGTTATAACTTGCTTTGATAACTTTAGCGAATTTTAAAATTTGTTATTTACTTGGAACGGTGATCAAAAAATTTGCCCCTATGTTTATGTGTGTTGTAATTATAAGAACTCTCTTGATTCTTATTTACTTGGAATGGTGATCCATAAATATATGGGTCCCTCTTATTTTCATAATTAATAGATCTATAAGATGAAAGATGATATCTATAGTATTTTTGAAAATTCTCATTTTGATTTGGTAATGAATATACTTCGTAGTCGTTTTGTTTTTTGTAATGAATTAATAGGTCTTTTTTTTATGAATTCTCTTTGTTTAAATATTGATTTTGAATTGTACGACATTGATTGATTCTATTTTTCCATTTTCCTGCTATTAATCTAGACCATCTAATTTGAGATAAATGGTATTGATAATGACCTTTTAACCAGTTTTTCCATTGATTTAGTCCAGAATTCCGAAGTTTCTTAGGTCTTAATTCACAATGAATTATTCCTTGTTTTCCAAAACAATCTTTTATTGAAGTCTTAAGACAAAAAGACGTTCCGTGATATTGAAGAATAGATCTTAACTTATACAAGAAGCATAAGTCAAAGTTGTGGGATTTAGCATTAGGAAAGACACGCGAACAATGCAGGCAACAAAGGTTCTTAGTAGAAAATGGGTCTTAATTCATAATGAATTATTCCTTGTTTTCCAAAATAATCTTTTATTGAAGTCTTAAGAAAAAAAGACGTTCCGTGATACTGAAGAATAGATTACAGAATCATTCTCTATTTATTTTGATTTTCAGTAACTATGTCATTAATGGCAAGTTATTGAATGTTTTCAATAACTATGTCATTAAATCTATGTACATTATTCTACTATTGTTTTTGTCTGTTATTTGCTCTTTTACAAAATTCTCTTATGTGATTTTAGGAATTTTCATTCATTTTATAAGATAATGTTATTCTTTTCGTATTGTTTTTGATGTAGTTATCATGGATCCTTTTGGATGTACCAAATTTGAGCGCAAGCTTGAAGATGACGAAGTTTGTGGGAATAAAGAAGAATTAGGTTCCCATGCAAATGACCCTATTCAAAGTTTAACCAAGAATGATGTTCTTGAAATGCAATTCAATTCAGAAGAGGATGCCAATGATTTCTATAATCAATATGCTAAAGTTGTGGGATTTAGCATTAGGAAAGACACGCGAACAATGCAGGCAACAAAGGTTCTTAGTAGAAAATGGGTATGCTCAAGGAAAGGCCAAAGAGCAAAGCAACACTTGGCCCGTATTGATCGAAAAAAAGCAACACTTTTTCCTTTCCTTTTATGGCATCTTTTCAGTTCAAATTATGTTCATTTTGTTTACATTTGCTTTGCAAATTTTATGTGTGGCTGCTTAATTCTAATTTCCTGATATGCCAAGATAGATTTGAGCTAGAACATTTAGATGTCATAACTAATTATGATGTTTACAACTTGATTATGAAAATAAATAATTTACGAACACAAAATGACAAAGAGTGTATAATGACCAATATATCAAAATTCAATTTGTTATGATTTGAAGTTTTGAATTATTTGAAATTATTGACGCCCTTCTTTTTTCAATTGACAACAATTCACATAACTATTTTAGTAATCCACAATAATGTTTCTCTTTATATGTACTATTCATTAGGCAAACCTTTCTTTGGTCTCTAATGCACAAGTCAGTAGAAATATTCCTTCGTCAATGCTTGTGCTCATAGAATCCCCGTCCGTTTCAGTCTAGTAAAAAGTGATGGTTTTTGCAAACTAGTTATTCCTAGTATCTTCAACCATAAAGCTATTTTCTCCTATGTTGAATGAACCCCTAAATACCACTTCATTTTTTGCGTAACTTTGTGGCAGAGAAAAAAATTCAAGATCGTGTTCACTTTGTTAACAAAACCCTTAATGTAGCTCCTTATCTTGTGTCCATTGATGTTCTTGTTTAGAACTCCCAGGTACTTTCGCTGAATTACGGTGTCAGTTCACATTGCAAGCATTACTTTATTTATTCATTTTTCCATTTTTTCTAGGAGTCATAGTTTATAAAAGTAAATTCAGTAAAGGAGTGTCACCTGTATACACTTATTTTTTCTTTCAGTTTGACATTCTACTTCTTCATTTTAGTAGGATTCATTTACCTTTTAACTAATATCACTCCTTTGCCTTTTTTACTTCAATGAAAGGAATATTAGGTCATAATAATCTTCTACGCTTATTTTGTGAACTATATTTGCCACTGAGAATGATCATTTGATGTATGAACTTGATAGAATATTCATAGATGAATTATTTATCGTTGTTGTTGAAATCTGAACACAATATATCTTGTAATTCCCAAATTCAATCACAAAACATATGGGGGATGGAGCACGGTATGATATGGTGTTTCCTGTTGTTCATTGGTGAAACCAAAGCAAAGTCCAATTTTGTGAATCTAAAGATAAAACTTTGGGGTTTAAATGCCCAACAACTTATGAAAGCCATTAATGAGTAGTGAGTTAAAACAGCAGGAACAATAGCTTTTTATCCTGTCATCTATCCTGTAGCTTTATATTTTTATGTGTGCTGTTATGTATTATCAATTGAAAGAATACTCTTTGATTGAACATAATGAAATATTTCATCATCCTGGTTGCAGGTTCTTGTCATTTTCTGTGAACCAACTGCGGTAAAAGTTAATACCATTCGCAGCATTGCATCTCAGATAATGAACAGAGAAAGTTTGACTCGGCTGATATTAGTGGTGCAAAATCAAATGACAAATCAAGCTCAGAAAGCTGTGGATCTTTTCTCCTTCAAAGTTGAAATATTCCAAGTACGTTTCTGGTATTATCGAAGTATTGCATTTTTTTTTTCCCCATTCTTTACATTACTGTTACTATGTTGAGATGCGAATTTTGGCATTCCAGAGTATCATTTCGTGTTTTAATGCTTGATTTGTGACCATTAAGTATAACTGACCTACCAAAAAGTAAGCAAATATCAATGAATATTAGCTACAAGCACAGTTGACTTGAAGGATTTCCTTTAGAAGGGATGTATATGTCATGCATTTTCTGTGGGGGAAAACTGTTCGATTCAATACTCTACGTATTGAGACCCTCAAGCCATTCAGAAATAATTTTAAAATTTTCATCATGGATGAGTAATAAGGGAATTGTTGTTGGTGATGATTAATTTGAGTGGAATCCTTATTGGCCAAAACAAATTTATGTTAGGTTTGACTAGATCCTTAGGAATGTATTGCAATGATTAAAGAAAGTTTTTTGAGTAATTTTACCGGGATGTGGGAGTATAGAAAAGAAAACAAATTCATCCTCGAGGAGGAGGATGTCGAGTTGTCTTTTCAGAGTATATTGGCTTACAAGAGGAGAGTTGGAGGAGGAAGCAAGAGAAAGAGGAATTTGATATGGGAATTGCTAACATTGAAAGGAATAATGCATAATAGTGATACAGGCTGAAATATATGTTGTTTTATATATTGTGAGATGCCTTTTGATAAAGAGATGAAGTGACCAGTATTGGATTAAATTCTATTTCATGCCTTTAATGTCGTACCGTTCTATATTTAGATTACCGACTTGCTTGTTAACATTACAAAGCATGTGTTAAAGCCAACGCATCGAGTACTTAATGATAAGGAGAAGCAGAACCTCTTGAAGAAGTTTAGTTTGGAAGAAAAACAGGTTAGTTATTAATTTGTGATAGTTTTGCTATTTTAAACTTGAAAATGCTAAAAAAGGATGTTGCTATCTAAGGAAGTTTTTTGTTTCTATTTTTATTGCTTAGCTATTGAGAACTCATATTCTTGTTGTGGGTTCTATTATCACTTTTCTTTTTATAAAACTGCATATTCTTGTTGGTGTTTCGTAGTTGATCTTTGATTCTTATCGTACTGGTGTCTAAAATATTTATTTAGTGCTGCTTAGAAGTAGCTATTCCTCATTAATGTTGTAGGAGTTCTTCAATGTATTTACACATACATAATATAAGATGCATTTAACATCAAACGTAAATCTCTCGAATATGTTAACCATGTAAAGTTAGATGTTGGGAAGATAACTTTGGTTGGAGGATATGAGTAATTAGTCTGAAAATTACTCAATCGAGATGTCATAATATAAGAGAGTTGTTGTATATGCTGGGATGTGGCCATGACCCTTGTACTACCCTCAAACCAAATGTCAATGTTTGACTTGATCCCGAATGGAGTCATCATATCCTACTCAGCAATAGTGAAATCAAGGTTAGAGGATCATCTAGGTTTTATTGTTTGAGGCTCATCTGGTATGTCTGGTATGCAGCTTGTGACAAATATTGGCTCTGGTTGAGCAAAGACATCTTGTCCATATTTTAGTGTTCAGCATACATCCTCTGCACATTACACGCATGCATGCGCACGCACACGCGCGCACACACACACACCCCCATATTACATATGTGATGCTAGAACATAGTGATGTTCATAGTGTTCAACATAGTGATGTTGTGTAATCCTTCCAATGAATTTGACTGAAATCATTTTGTGTTTTCCCTTAGATTCCTCGGATGCTACAAAAAGATGCAATTGCACGGTATTACGGACGGGAGAAGGGGCAAGTGGTGAAAGTTAGTTACAGTGATGAAATTACAGAGTCTCATGTCACTTATCGCTGTGTTTGGTGATGCGTGTATTGTCCATTTTCAGGATTTTCTGTCTGACTATATATCATCTGTGTTAACTCATGCTGAAACTTTGGTTGGTAGAAGTTAATAGGTCTATGATCTTCATGTTCTTTTATTATGTCGACATTGATGCTGTTGGCGGGAATTTCAAGTATGTGTGTGCTTGTTAATATATATTGCAACTTGTGAATTGTGTTATTTTTTAGGCTTATATTTGCCTTTTGTGAACTTTTTCAATTTTGAGTCCAAAGATATTTACTTTTTAGGTCTATCTAGATTAGACAATCCTAAAACGTTTTTAAAAATAGAAAAAATTCAACAGAAGTTTAGTAAATTCAAAAATAAGTTCACTTTTGTATGTTTGTTATTATAAAATCTGACTTTTAATTTTTTTTTTATTTTAAAGGACTGCTCAGTGGCCAAAACTCGTGTTTTTTACTATAAGGTCATGAGTTTGACTCTCAATATATCCAAACAAATATATGTAGGCAAAGCAACCGGGATAAGCTGCCAAAATCTTTATTCTAGAATGATCTATCCATGATAAATTTAACAGCAGTAATTGGAGCACAATTATAAACCCATCGAATTGTAAGAATTGCCTACTTTGGCTTGTTTTGAGAAGTAGGAAAAAATTAGCTTTTTGATTTATTTATTTTTTTGTTGAAAAAATGTATAAAAAGTAAAAAGGTGATGTAATGTAAGTAAGTTAATAAATTGACTTATTTTCATGTTCCCAAAAGAAGCCAAAGCATTCTCTTCAGAGTAAGGAAAAAAAAATAAAAAATTGAACAAAAAAAGAAGGAAAACAGCCCAAAAAAAACAATGTCAAACTAACTTGATCTTTCGCAGAAACCGAGCTTCAAACCAGAAACATGAATTTCCAAAGCATCCTCCAAAACAACAATGAGAAAACTATCCCTCCTTTATTTCAGTAAAAATAAATAAAAATAATGACAGCCACAAAATATATTCTACATTGCTACAATCGTACTAAAATTTATTTATAATAAGATCAATGAATTAAGTAGAGTTCAATCAACAACGGTAATTCTCATCTATTTGAATTATCAATCTACTTCACCAAAACAATAACAAGCTGCCAACGGGTTGGATTCAAGCAGTGGTGTCCATTCCTACTTTCTACAATTACGCTTGTCAATATAAAAAAATAAAAAATAAAAATTAAAAAATAAAAAATAAAAAATATAAAAAGAAAAGGAAATTGACCCAAGACAATTTTGGTAGTATGTTATTCTGCAGTCAATATTGAATTAACCAATTTTTTCAACCTAAAGAGGCAGCAATCCCACCAGCCACAAGTCCTACAACCGTTGCAGTGATGCCTATTCCAATAAGCCCATCTACACACCACCACCAACAACAACAAAAAAAAAAAAGAAATGTATTTTCAGTTTCTTTAAGATCTGAAAAATTGATAAAGAGAAGTATCGTCATCACCTTTAGTGATTTGATCATCAAGAGTCTTCTTGAGGGTCAAAGCTTGCATCCAATCAGGTGCAATCTGCAACACATGAAATACGTATGTGATTTCCCATGCATGAGAAATTTTCTATAATTATAGACTGTTAAATTAAAGTCAATATATAATTAATACGCCAGAAAGAAAAATTACTTAAAAAAAAGAGAGAAAAAGAGTTCATTTAGATGTACATTGTCTATGTTATGGTAGTAATCAATAATTGGGTGATTTGAAGATTATTTGAGTGGATGAAGGAATTTAAAATGAGCCGGAGATTAGACAGATCAAAATATAACTCTGTCATAGCATTTCAATGATGAATTGCCCTTCAGATCCATGATAAAAAGTCATTGTGAAAAACATCAAATTATCAAAACTAGTAACAGGAAATGCAAGTCATGTCATTTCTTTCAAATTATTGTATTATTATTATTTTGTTTGAGTATCATTTGTTTGAAATTATAATCTGAAAGATAATCAATCACACATCACACAAAGTAAAATCATGTAGGTATGAAAAAGAACCTGAAAAGAAAATTGCAATACTAGGTACAAATTCTGATAAGATACAGGAAAGGGAAAAAAAAACCTCTAAACATTGTTCTGCAAGCTGCCTGCTCCTTCGATATTCACCACTTCTGTAATACCCAACAGCAAGAAGATAAAGCTTTTCCCTCTTTTGCAATGGGCTGCCACTATTGGCTAATGAGGCTGCCAAAGAAGAATTGTTCAGTTTCTGACAAGGGCTGAAATTTCATATACAAAATCACAAGTAAACGCTCAGAATTTCAAAGCAATACAAATATGGTAAGTCAACTGCATCTGTTCTGTGCAGCTTCCAACATCAATAGAAACTTAAAACACAAAGGTGCAATGAAAAATTATAGAAAAGCAGCAATAGCATAAACAAAACTAATCATGACTCCATAGGGAACGATGGTGATTACTTCAGATACAAAAGTTACCGTTTACAAACTCTTTACAGAAGGGGTCAGCACCAAGTCCGCAACTTTGAGGTTTGCTACGTTGAGCTAATAATTTGAATTTCTCAAGCATAAACAAGTATGGAGCACAAAATGCAGTAAACTTTTGATGGCCCCTAAACTAATCATCCAAAAATGTGTATACAACATGCAACTTTTAGCAAGTGCACTGGCTGTTAAGTTCCTTTTTTTCTCCATTTTTCCATGAATAAAGAAACAAATCAAGTTAAAAAATACAAAAAGAGACACAACAATGCACATGCATGCACATACAAGATCAGGGTGAGGTGATAGTTACAGTGAAGATTGGTGGCAAAGAGAGTAAAATAAAAGTGTAAACAACAGGAGGATGTTAAATGGAATAAGTGGAATAATTAAACAAGATTGAAATCACAATCGTATGAGAACTATAAACTCCTTGCTGTAAAGAAAAATTATTTAGTACTGAATTTATTGGTTCTGACCTTCAAGCATAGCTATCCCATGCTGCATGTCTTCTGGTTGTTTGGAATGAACAAGAGCCCATGATAACCGTATAATTCTCTCGCTCTTTAGTTCATCTGAGACACCATTTGCAGCCTCTGAAACTTCTCTCTCACAGCCCTACACACGAAAGACTTCAGAGCATAGACAAAAGTGTGGAAGAACCAGAGAAAATTTCATATACAGGGATAGTGCCACTGCCACAGCAGCATTTGATGCCTTGGGGGTTATGTCTTTATTGTCATGAAATAAAATATTAATAATAGCAAAGTGCTGTGGATTTCTACATCTTTTCTGAAGCAGGAAAAATCGTAGTTCAATCACAAACAAGAGTTAATGCTGGCAATAGAATCTGATATGGTTCTGAAGATTTAAAAAACTACTTGACAAAATAATCACATCGACTTAGACTCATTTTCAGTGCTTATTCCAATCATTTTTTTTTTTGTATCAGCAATAAGGATAACAAAATATCTCTAAGCACGGATGAGATCAACAATATCTTCCAGTAATGCTGTTGCACTCCAATCAACAAGAAAACTTATTGAGCATATATTCTCCTGTATAGTGGTCAGCATCCAAATGAAAAAACATAATAGCTACAAATAGAAAATCATTACAAGGCTTGACATGGGCAGAACGATTCAACCAAGGACTGCAGGGAATGTTGCTCAAAAGATGGAAAACCAAATATCGTAGACATAACACACTTTCATTGCTTGATTGCCACTAAGTTTGCATTGAGAAGAGAAATAAAAGAAAAAACTAATTTTGGGACAGAAATTTCAACCACAACCCCAGTGAATTTTACAGAAGATAACAGATTTAAATTTATCATCATCCACCCCAAGCTGATATTACTCAACATATCATATTCAACAGGCACAAAACAACTTATAATTCTCAAAATACAAATTAAAACAATCTCCTTTCTTCCCCTCTGCCCCGAATAGTAACTAGCGCGCCAATCTAGTCATGTTTTTCATGTTCCAATTGAACACTTTCCATTTTTCTTTTTGATTCTAAAAAATCGTGTGGCCCTATTCATCAAGTGGCAAATGTAACCCAACAGCTACAAACAAGTTAACAAATTAACACATACCCAAAATCTAAATAATTTTTCTCCAATTGTGACCCCACAAATTTACAAAGCACATAGAAATAGAAAGAATTCTTCCATAAATGATAAGTGGCAGTTGCCAGTTGGTACTGTTCCCATTAAACTGTACAAAACTAAGCTATTCTATTACATTTGGTGTAAACGCTGTCACGTTTTTGTTCTTTTCCAAGAATGCCCTTTAACTGTCAATAACTTCCGAACAATTTTTTCATTTATCAAATTGCCTAAAAACTATTAAAAAATGGTTTTTCTCATTCATCAAATTGCCCCTCAATCATATAACCATCCAAAATTTTATATTTAAAATTGGAAGCACATGCATTTGCACTCACCACTAGTAATAACATATGCACATGAATACTGTCCATCAAAACTAGCCACAAAAAACAATTAGATTCGGCCGCTGACCAAGGTGACAAGATGCATTTTGGAATAGCGCAAAACCTTTAGGATTGTAAACAATAACAAGTGCCACTAATCAATGGGCAAAACATGTAGGCATCAATAGTTACACATGCAAACTCCCAAAGGAAAAAAATAAATATAGATTGCCACAGGGGATTTCTGAAACTAGCTATGGTTAACTATGAATAGGGCCCAAAATTTCTAGGTTGAGCTGGAGGCAAGGAGAACCTTAATAAGGGCAACAAAGCCTCGTCTATCTATCTATGCTGTTCTGTTCTGTTTTGCTTGCAGTGTTGCTGATCTGAGCTTGGAGGTTTGAGAAACTTACTTAAGATATGTGTGTGTATGTATATTACACCTTAATCCACCACTCTTTATCTATTACTCTAGTAAATTGTACACCTTAGTCAAGCACTCCTCTTAAATGTTAAATTATACACCAATTCTCTAATGCTCAACAAAGTTAAAGGGTCAAACTGAACCGAATTCAACAGAAGACCAACGCAGTAAGTAGTTCTCGCCATTGCACACTAAAGATGCAGTTAAAAGTGCCTTTCAATGAAGCGGGCTCTACTCCCCACATGTTCAAAATAACTTGGGGCATCTCCAATCATTTATCAATTCACAATTAATGAAAAAATGGTTTTAAAACGTAGAAGTTAGTGGGTGTGGATGGTGCCACCAGGTTCAACCAATCACAAATGACTATTCCCATGTTGTCTCCCACATATGATAGACCCTAGTGGTGTCTTAACCAATCACAATTAAGGAAGCATCAAGTGCCAATATCCTCTCAGGTATGCAACAATGAGCTCCAATACTTACATCAAACTTCTTCAAATCAAGGATGAAGCAAATCCTTTATCATATAATTTTTTTTTTAATTGGTTAACTATGTTTTTGGGGACAAGTTGAGAATTTTTTATAAATATTTTATGAAAAAAATCATGAGTAACAGATTATAGTGCTCCCTACCAAATCAAGGTTTCAACTAAATTTTCACTCAAAACAATGGAAAAAAAATACAATTACAAGGATTAGTGACAGCCTTACAAAGGCTGCACTGTGAAGATAACAGCAAACCACATGGG